ACATCCTGGCCAGGACCCACATGACAGCGAGGCAGGGAAAGCTGCTGAGAGAGCCTTAAAGAAATAAAAGGGGTGTGAGTGAAGCAATTAGGTAAAGAGAATATAAACAAGCAGAAAATTAATCTACTGCCAGAACTAACGGGACCCTGCTGCAGGAGAGCGAGCAACTATCTCCCACATTACTAAACAGCAGTAACTCCTTGAAGAGAACAGGACCTGCAGGCAGAGTTAAGGCACGGACTTCCCTGGGGACCTGGGAATGTTGAGCAGCAGTGCTCGTATTTCCTGGTCTGATGCCTGCCTTCACCTAAAGACCTAGGGGAAAAAGCTTGCTGCTCTTTTGGCTTGCAGAAAAAGTGACTGACTTGGATGAAAGAAGTGTGGGAGTCTCAAAGACCCTCTAATCTAGACCTCTCCTGAGCTGAGGCCCAGGATACCAAGAGAGCCCTCACCTTGGCTGCTGCTCCATGCTCTGTCCACTACCTGATGGAGTTGGACCACAGAGAGGAAGGGTCTGCAGCTGAACAGTACCTTGAAACCCATGGGCCAGTGCATGAGGTAGAGGTCCAAGTAATACAACTTAAAGGACTTCAGACTCTCACGGCATGCTGTTTTCACCAAGGAACTCTCATGGCAGGTGCACCACAGCTACAAATGAGAGGGAGACCACTGTCACACAGGCCACAATCCAGAGCTAACTGCATCCGCTCCTTAGTCCCGCAAAGCCACTATCCTGGATCAAAGCATCCAAGATAAAATGACACCAAATACCATATGACAGGTTCTGAGGGCTGGACAGCAATATTATCCTCAGAACAGTTCCAGAACTCCCTCAGGGAGAAATCTCCAAAACTGGGCTCCTTCTGCCTGACTCCTACTCAGGGGACATTCCGGACATCAAGAGATATTTGGCAGAAGGGCCAGAGATGATCTGGATCCACTGGGACTAAAAAGAAGTACATGCATTCAGAAAGGTCATGAGGAAAAACCAGAAGAATTTCTATATTGTGTTTCTCACATATACAGTCTCCATGCTAAAGGTTCTGTGTTACTAAGGTGTCAGAAACATGCAGGTCGAAGTAGGTACATACAGTGCCTTACATTTATTTAGCATTTCCTCCCACACTTCCCATTAAGTAGAAAAATTTGTAATTGTTTTCCCTATCATTTCCCCCCAATATGCCTCTGTTAACTCTGACAGAAGCTAATGTGAAGGCTCCAAACAAATGACAAGTACAGTGTGTTACCAAAATTAAGAAAAAACATAAAAACCGGAAGCATATACATCACATTATTAACAGTATTTGTCTCTAGGTGGTGAGTACACAAGTGATTTACTTACTTATAACTGCATTTGTATGCATTTCCAAATTTTCAAAGTAATGCACATACTTCCACTGCTGGCTGTGATCCACTCGGAAGCAGTTTGTCCCCACATTACAGGGCAAATCTTGAAAGTTCACAGTTGCCCATCTCCCCACCTTGAGTACTCAGAAGAAATTCTGCTTCCTCGGGCAAGCACACACCAAGGTTCCTCTGTTACCAACCATCTGCTCTTGTTTAGACAGCACAGATGAGTGACAAAAACTAATTAAACAAAAGGGAAATCAGCTATGGAAACAGCATTGATTGAATCTTGGAGTTATAACATTTTAGACCTGGTAAATACTCAGGAGATTATCAAATCCAAAGTCACTTTTCAAATGACACAGATGTGACCCTAAGCCACCGAACCACAAGTACTCATAGCTCCTGAACAACAGCCAGAACTTAAACCCCTCACACCTGATCTCATGGCCTCAATGTTGTGCTGCAGTTGAAAGCCAAGGCCTCCTTTAATTCCTCCCTGTCTTGGTCTATGCCCTGTACTTTCCATAGACAGAGCTTGCCTCTAGCTCTGCTTCACGTGTGTGTCCTCTGCTCCATCCCTCCCCTGAGCTGGCTCAGGCCGTCATCGTCTCCTGCCTGTGTTGCTGTGATGTCTCCTAAATGGCCTCCTGCTTCTGTCTGAAATGCGTGCTCCTGTCTGCTGCTGCACATACAACATGAGTCTTGCTTACATAGAATGTAAGCCACCCTACTTAAAACCTAGCAGTTTTTCTCTGTCTCTAGGGAAAAGCCCAACCTCTTTACATGGCACACCAAGACTTTCATGGCATGGCCCCTGTCCACCTCTCCTGGCTCACTTCTCATTACTCTCTTGGGCCTCATGCTGTGCAATCCAGGAGGAGCCAGCTTCTTACAGGTCCCAGCCCCTGCTGTGCTGGTGCATGCCTTGTGCTGTACTCAACGTGCCCCCTCTGTGTGTAATGCCATCCCCAGCTCTGCCACCTGCTCCACTCTCAGGGTCTCTTAGCTCAGTTGGTTAGGGCACAGCCTTATAACACCAATGTCAAGCTTTTGGTTCCCCATACCAGCCAGCCACAGGAAAAAAAAAAAAAGAAAAAGAAAAACAATCACCCCAGGTAATTATGAGTTTGGGAATCAGTGTGCAGACAGAGTTCAGAAGGACTGAGACTCACCACTGGAGCCAAAATGTCAATCACTTAATCAATTTTTGTTTTAAGAATGTGTTGTTACTTGGGGGGGCGGGGGTGGAGAGGATCTCGTGCACTCTCACGTGAATGACCAAATAAATAATATGAAGCAAATGAACCTACACACAAGGTAACTCAGCATGTTTGTGAAGCTGTAAAAGTTCTTCTTAGCTCTGGCTCACATATGAAAGAGTCATCAACCCCAATAAGGAAACTGGAAAATCCTCCACACTATGCCAGTTTAGTGCTCTGGTTACCCAATCCTTGAGTGGCTGAGACCCTGCTGTCCTTGTTGCTGAGAAGCCTACCTTACTGACAATGAAGAGATCCTTCCATCTCACGATGCCCTCATTGATGTTGGAATGAATCCCTGCTCCAACCTGACTCTCGTTGTGGTATAAATAAGCGCAGTCGAAGTGTCAGTACCCAGCATCGATGGCCACCTTCACCGCGTCCGTCACTTCTCCTGGAGAGGCCTGTGAGACCAACAAAACAGAAATACTCCTCTCATAATCAGGGGAACCAATTTCCCCCTTTTCAGTGGAGAAATGCAGCCAAATATTACATAAAAAATTAAGTCACTTAATTGGTACTAGTCAGAGTCAGAAAGGAATTTATAGATAATCTATGCTTCAACTCCTTTACTTATTTTGGGGAAAACTATAGATACTTGTATTAGTCCATTTCTGTTGCTTATAACAAAATACCTGATACTGAGTCATTTATAAGAAAACAAAATATGTTGCTTACAGTTTCAGAGGCTGGGAAGTCCAAAGTCCAAGGAACACAGCTAGTGAAAACCTTGGTGGTGGCGACAGTGACCCAGTGGTCCCACATGGCAGAAAATGGCAGAGCAGAGAGAAACTAACCTCTCATGTGCTGTCCTTTTAAAGCCCTCAGAACCACACATCTGATCACTATTATTAATCCATTCACTACAGCATGGTCCTACAATCCAATCACCTCTTTGAGGCCCCACCTATCAATTACCATAATAGGACTTCTCACCATCTTAACAATTGCAGTGGGATCAAGCTACTAATAGATGAAACTTGGGGACACAATTGATATCAGTATTTTGAGTGCCCACAGAGAACTGAGCTCAATGTTGTGCTTCCTGAATGATCACAGGGATAAATGAATGTAGAATGAATAATAATAACTCAGATACAGAAAAGTATAAGGCCCATCCTGTGCCCTCAGAAGCCAGACAGTCTAATTGCAAAGGTAAGCAGGTGTGCACTTGCAAAAAGGTAATCCATCAAACATAGGAGCATGTTCCGAAACCCAAATGAACAGTATGCATGCTATAAGCAAATGGAAGTTCAGTAAAGAGAAATCACCATAAATTGGGCTCAAGCAAGGGAAGGGACTAGAACCAGGGGAAGATCATGGGGAAGGCTCACAATCTCATTAAACTGAAGATTCTTAAATAGTTTATTGGTCACAAAGTACTTTCTCAGTTGAACTCATGGTAACCCTATGAGATATATGAGTATAATTATCTTCAATTAACAGGCAACAGTTTCAGAGTAGCTGAAAGCTAATGAACAAAGTATCCATCTTAAGTTAGAAAAAGAACAACCCAAGGAATTAAAAGGAAAAAGGAAAGGAAAGTAAGAATGAGATCAATAAAATAGGAAACAAACATGTAAGAGAGGAGCTCAACAAAGAAATTAGTTCTTTGAAAAATCTTAAAATACACAAGCTTCTGGAGAGATTGATCAAGATGAAGACCATTTTTTTAAAAAATAATGTGAATGAAAAACAGGACATGGAGATAAAATATATTAAAAAATTCTGATAACCACATGCCAACAATTTGGAAAAATGAGATTGAATAGAAAGATTCCTAGAAAAATTTAACTAACTCAGGAAGAAATAAAGCTGAATAGTTCTGTAATTATCAAAGAAATGAAATTAGAAAGAAAGAGAGAGAGAGAAAAAAAAAAACAACAACACAAAACCAAAACCCTCCTAGGAGAATTCTACAAAATTTTCAAGAAG